CATTTTACAGCACAATAGAGTATTATTGTCCTCCCCTCTTTTGCCACGTGGTATGTTCCAACCCAGTATTTAAATCCGGGAGCTTGAAGGCAGTGCTGCTCATGCACTGAAAACCGGTATAATACAGGAAGCAGCTGGGAGACAGAGACAGAGGCAGAGAGAGAGAATCCGAGGAAAGAGGAGAACAAACCCTGCCTCACCAGCACCTGGAGGTGACGACAGTTATAACAGGAGAAGCAAAGAAAAAGAGGGGAGGTTCTGAGATCCCGGTGTTAAAGCAGCTGCTGTTTTGGAGCAAGACTATCCTGTCTCTCTCCTTTCTCTTTTTGCTGTCATTCTCTCTCTTCCACTGTATCATCGGGGGAGGGTGCATTGGCTGTCCCAGGCCTAGTTACATGTCCCAGCATCCTGCAAGAGCTCAGACAAGGCCACCTCGACCCAACTGAGACTGTAAGAACAGAACAAGACAAGGAGACAGAGGTACTGTAACCTATGCTGATTCATCAAGAACAGCACCTTATACTGTGGAGCCTGTTTGTGTGGCTACTGTGCTACTAGAAGTTTGACTGGTTCTGTGTAAGGCATGGTACACATCACTCCAAAAATACTGCACAAGCAAGAGAATAGTAACACTTTAGGTGCCACACAGTCGCTGTGTACTGTAATGAGCATACAGAAGACAGTGGGAGGAGATGTAGAAATAAGGGGGATTTTCTTTATGAGGTAGCATAAACGAATGGAAAAGAAAAATATATTATGCATTTGTTACCACGGTCAGTTGCTATGATGCTGATCTTTGTAAAGCCCGTGTTCCATAGGTTATTGCAGAGTCTGGCTGTTGCAGAGAGTGAACATTTGAGCCATCTAGTCCTATTTCTTGAGCATCCAGAATTTTGCATTATTTTTGTCCAGTGGATTAATCACTGGAATTCATGTGTGTCTGCTGACACTCATGTACAGTGTATCAAATGTTTTACTGCAGTAAAACAAAGGCAGTGTCAGCAGTATGTCATTCATCTTCATGATCACAGCTGTGTGACTGCACAGACAGATGGTATAAACTGCTCAGGTTCAGAGTCCACGTGAACTGAAGCAACCTTTGTGATGTTTTTAAGTGTGCTTGTGAGAACAGCTGCCATTTGTTTGGTGTTGACTAGTGACTTATGTCTTTCCTTAGTGACTGTTTGTGTTATAAAAAGCTGTGGGGAGTAGCTGTTAAAGAGGATGTCTCTTACCATAGTATTAAGAATTGTCTTATTGGGTTTTTATTCATGCACTAGAATGTATATTTGTCTTTCTGTCGGGGAGTTTTTCAGTTTTTTTTAAATAAGAAAATTATGCCCCATCTGGCATTAGTCTTTAACGGGCAGATTTCACCACCCTGGTTTTGTTCCCTTATACCTGGCCTGAGTACTGATAATACATTTTCAAGATGAAACCCCAAAGTAGAGGTTTGTTCTTATCTGTAGTTGCTAAGGAACATCTGTCATATGCTCCCTCTCAGGAATTAAAGTGAAATCTGTAAATAAAAACACAAGTGTTTCTAAATACTGGAACCACACTCGCTATAGATCCAAAACTAAACTACAACCCATTACTAAAGGAAAACTCACAAATGCATACACTGGTGTTTTTGTTTTTAATGCCATCACCATTTTCTCTCATAGAATACCCACCATGCATTGCTGATGTATGACATTTCTGGCTGTACATGACTGTAACAGACATCAGCCTCACTTGTTTGCCTTGGTTCAATTTAATTTCACTACAAATATAGGTAGACGGCCTGATTATGTTGGAGTTTACATGTGTACAACACCTGGTCCGCTGTGTAACAAGAAGTAGGGGTGGGCAGTATTTTGGTATTATTGTTTGAGTTTCAGCAGAATCGTATTGTGATGA